TTATTTATTTTGTATTAAAGGACAACCTCGTTCCCAGGGTCTTCTCTCTACCTCGAGGTAGAGCGAGGACCCTGGGAACGAGTTTGGTTACCCACCATTATTTCTGTGTCATTGTTTCCCTCGTATTCAAAGTGGTGTGTATCAGTTGCTATGTCGTATTCTGGTCCCTGTAACGGCTTGAATGTCTTAGCAGGGTGGATAGAGTTGCCGCGATACTCAAATGCATTATTCCAGCGGATTGCCTTGTGAACACTGTAAAATGGATATTCCTCATACCACAGACATGCGCTCAATGTCGAAATGTAGACGGCAGCACCCTTGACCTTTGCCTGGTTCTGGATAAATGACACCTTAGCCTAGTCGGAAAAAAATATATTTTGGTCACCGTTCGCTAGTAACGCATAAACGCTGTATCGTATTTACAGAAGCTTAATACAATTACATGAAGCCTACGTAGCGAGCGTTCCCAGACGAAGAGCTTTTTCCGAATATTCTGGCCGCGCACAGAGCGAGAGCCACAAATTTCGATGAGGCAGGGGCGAGCCCTCGCTCCGTCGATTTTTTCTCCCGCTCTAATTTGCGCGTGGCCAGAATGCACAAAAAAAATCTTCGTACGGGATCGCTTTCCACGCGGGCCAAATTACACGCATTCCGCTTCGAATGCCTTGTTGTGACATGTTCGTCTCTTCTCTAAATGCCGTATTATTTTTAGTCACCTTTCGTAGCTATATTGTATGTATATATTCACTTAAACACTGTCTCGCATTGACAGAAGCTTACTACAGTTACAAGCATTCCGTCAAATGCTCTGTTGTGACATGTTGAGTTTTTGACGAGTCTTCTAAATGTCGTATTATTCTGAGGTCAAGAAGTCATGATGGCTTCTCATCTTCTAGATAAATAATTTGTACGCACTTGCACATGCACGTTTGCTTCTAATCCGTTCTAAGGTAAGAAAGGATTTTTTTTCGAGACTACCGCCTGTATACGCATAGACAGACACCATTGAAAATGGTTCAATGTTGAAATAACATAAAAAAAGGCCGGAAATGTGTAAAATTATATACTATGTTCTGAAAAATTCGACAGGCTAGGGTACACCCAACCCAACGGGCAAGTACCCCCGCCCCTACCCTCCAAATCCCCCAGCCCAATTTCTCTACTTCGTCCTTAGGAACTTACCTTCCATTTAGAAGGAGCTGTCTTGTCTTCGCTGTACCTCACAAAACAGTCTGGATTATACTCGTGAATAAACTCATACCTTGAGCCAGTTAGTACAACAATCGCACCACCAACGCCACTGGCGTAATTTTTGACAAAACGAAGCTCGCTCCCTGGATGCAGAATGATTTGGCTGGAGCTCAAGAGCACAGCGCCACCATGAGAGCCCGAGTTCTGGGCGAACTCCAGAGACCCGTTCACAAGTATGCGGCCCTGTACGTACTCCACTGCCCCAGCACCGTGATTCTCCCTGAAAATATTTTTACCCGTGAATTTTGCGTTCACCCTTAGACTTGTAAACGGGCTTGTGTACGTGCTGTATGTTGCGCAGTGGTGTTGTATTTTGCAGTCAATAAATTCCGGCATTTCAATGATCGGGATTCCAACGGGAAGTGCTGTATCTAGACGAACGGCGGCGCTGGCTAAACCACCGTTTCCATCGAAGGTAACGTTTTTAAACTGTATCAGCGATTGCGTGATTGTCACGGGGTAGTTAATTAGAAAGATGTTCACGCCGCCACCTCTTCTGGACCAGTTTTCACTGATAACGCAATGCGTGACACTAAACTTAGCAAAGGATGTTGAACCCCCAACAGTAACACTAATTCCGCCACCAGCTTGCGAAGCGCTGTTTTTAACGAAGCTAGAGTTCCATACATTCATTGAATTGTCTGTTGCATATTGAGTGGTGGCATAAAAAAATCCGCCACCAAACGTAGCTTCGTTTTCAACGAAATAAGTTCCCTCCACTGAGGCTCTACATGAGCGCGCCTCGCCAATGAAGGCGACGAATAAGCCACCGCCTATAAGGTTCAGCCCAGGGAGACTAGAGGGAGAAGTGAGAGGAATAAAGTTCTCAGAACCATTGACCGTAGCTGAATTAGCTGTAAAGTTTGTGTTTCTAATGACAAGATTTAGATTAACTGCGTGTTCAAACACAAACCCTGCCCCCCCGGAGATGGAGATGGTGTTCGGAGTGATATGACTTTCTAAAACCATAAGCTTCTGCAAATTTGAAGTATTGTTTAAAAAAAGGCATCCCTCCATAGTTACGCCACTGTCGAATGCGTTAATACCAGAGCGATCGTTGTCTTTGAATGCACAGTTTGTGAAGGAGATGTTGTCAGAGTTCCAAATCATTACAACAGCAGCTGATCTTGGAGTAAACTGCTGAAACTCAATGTTCGAAACATGGATGTTATACGCGGCGTCCATTGTTATACTCGTCGATTCATTTGCACCGCGTATGACGGTGTAAGAGTTTTCGGCAGATGTTATATAGACGCGCCTATCTTTTCGAGATTGCAAAATCTCAACGTCATTTTGCAAATCGTAGTATCTGTCTTGCATGTGAAATTTGAAGACGGTTTCCTCGCTGAACTCGGCATCGTTTAGGACTTGCAATGCGTAACGGAGAGATGCACAAGGAATGCTTATATTTGACGATCGCAGGCAAGTTGCTCGATCGACGCCGTCCTTTTGGGAGACAAGAACCTTCACTGAAGAAGCACCAGAAGCCAACAGTACTAGTAAGACACACAGGAACATGGTAACGATTCTTGAGTTGTCGAAGATTACTCCTTTTTTCCTTTCGCTTTTTGCCTCTAGTCCTGTTCAGTGATGATTTTGGAAGTTTATGCGAAGTTACATCATTAATCTAAGTGATTCCGTGTGCGAAATTACGAAATCTATGGCGTTCTGGAGTCTTCGGTCTTTCTCTGATTATTCCTGTCTTGTATCTTTTACTTGTTCGAGAGCGTCACGCAATGGCGGGCGTACGGGTCAGCATTGTTTTATTTGCTTCTACGAATAATAGGTGTTGACAGCTCATCAGCAGTTTTGAAGGCGCTGCTAGTCATGTGCTCTGTTGTCCCATGACTCCCATTCCGTAGAGAGCTGTCATAACACATTACAAATAAACACCTATACACACTATTTTTACTATTCGTAGATAAATAATTTGATAAATATTTGGCTGTAGTAAATAAAAGGTTCGGAGGTTCAGACGGTTCTAGAAAACAATGAGTGAAAACTGAATTATTAGAAAGGTCCTTTACAACCTTTCGAACTGAATCAAATTCTGAACGTGCTTAACGGATGACATGTAAGTATTTTAAAGGAGTTACTCAATCTAAGATCATAGAAAAGGGAAACGGAGGCCTTGTTGTTGGCACGTGAACGGGGTATCATTTTTCATAGTTACCTTTTCTGTCTAAAATGGTAATAAAACAGAAAGGGTGCGGCCTCGTAGTTGGGTACCCCTCCCCCTCCCCAGGTACCCTGCAAAAAAATGTTTCTGGCCAGTCTTCACTGCAGATCGATAGACTATTTTAGAAGGATACAAGGACCTCTCTCGTATTGATCGCTGGCTTTTCAAGTCTTCTCCATGATCGCTTCATGAATAATTGTGAAAGAGCATAGGGAAGAGAATCAAAGAATGAGCGCTGACGACAAATCATGGGTCCAGGGATGCTCCGCTTGTAAGAATTTTGGACCAAAAAACATGAAAAATTGAAATCTAAAATAGGGTCAGCAAAATCCAGTTTCCGGAAGACGTGGCGCCAAGAGTAAGTTAAACCCTGTTTCAGAGGTGCAAAATTCAAAGTGACAATCTTCCTGGTGCTACTGACCGTGATAAAGCTGAGCCACAATAATTATGTTCTTACTTAATTTGCTAGAACTTCCAAATACAGTTTGCTCAAGAGACTATATGATCAAAGTCTCTCCGTTTGCCAGTTCACATGATTATAATTTCATTCATGCAATTCGCTGCTTTTGTTTTTTTTTTCAAAAACAATAATTTTACGGCAATATCCGGCCTACGGGAGGTCACCTTTTTAGTGTCAGGAATGGCTTTTAATGTTTGGTGGAACCATTTCTAAAAGACCTCGCATTCAGACATTCTACAATATTATTTTACTGCTGAACTTAAGTATGTCGACTTAGCTTCTTGTCCACACTTATCCTAGTGAACGATGGACGCCGATCTACCATTATGAAACAATTGTCAGTTTTATTTCGAATCAGTCCTTAATCATCTGCGCGTGGCCCGCGAACAACGAGCGAGCGTCACGCGTGTACTGGAGCCGCTGGCTTAAATCCAGGTT